TGTGAGGTGCTTTCGTGATATTTAATGGATCGGATTACATTTTTTATTTTTCTCCGATATCCGATCCAGTAATTTAGGTCAGTATCGGACCGATACCGATACGTAATATCGGATCGGTCCATCTCTACTAACTAACCTTGTGAATTAAATAAAGTTCAACATCAGTAACATCAAAGCACCCACCCAGCTGTATAGAAACTCCGTCATGCTAGCTAGTACGCAGTATGAGTTATTGTAACTGACTGTAAAAAGTCAGCACAACGAGATCTGACCCAGACAGACTGCAGGTCATAACTTCTTACCTGAAGTTCAGTTCACCTGACACTCGGCGGCTGCCTCGGGGCTCTCCTCCTGCCTCCCCTTTCTCTCATCCACCTGCTGGCCTCCACCAGTTGCTAATTTTACTGAATCTGAGGAAGCACCGTCATAGCCACCACCAAATAACTGAGTTATTTTTACACACCGACCAGCATCTGGCCAATCCACCACCTTTCATTGTTTATACCGTTACAAAGAAAAAAAAAGTCACCGGGCCACCGAGCAAATGCCCAGTATGCCGGATGGCCAGTCCAGCTATGGTCTTGCCATCAGTTAACCCTTCGCGTGCCAACTGTGGCACGCGTGCCAATGGATGCCGACCCCTGGGTTAGGGTCTTCGCCGGGTCGATTCTGTCCCTGCCTTGTGTTTAACACCCTTGCTTTAACTAGTTCGGGGGCACGGGAGACTGAAGCCTTTCCCACCTGTCATAGAGAAAGAGGCAGGGTACATCCTGGACAGGTCGCTGTGTTGACATTAAAAAGCCATGATTCGCCCATTCCTGATTGGAGACGACGAGGTCTTATTTGCCTCCTTCTGATTGGATAATCGAGGCAGAGTGACTGTGTAAATGAACCAATGAGAGGCTGCCACACTGTGGTTATGAGAGTTTTCGCAGCCTGTGTGAAGGGCTACACCGCCTCCATTCCTTTCTCTTTCTCTATCGACCAGTCTGCGCTTGGCCTTGTCTGAGGAGCTCGCATCCTTGGCTTTCCCCTTGCAGCACAGCTGAAGAGGGGCGCTTCTACAGACCCCATCTGCATCCTAAAACCGTTCTGTGTAACTAAAGGACTCAGTAAGCGCCGTGTGCGATGTTGAGACTCATCTTTTTGGCCGCTCTCGCCGGGTTCTCTCGAGCCAGTGATGTGCTTGAGTACACGGATGACGATTTCGAAAGCAGGATCGGAGACCATGAGCTAATTCTCGTGGAGTTCTTTGCCCCTTGGTGAGTCTTGTCACATGTTTTCTCCGAAGTATCAGAGAAATTTGCATAAGTGAAAAACGCGAATCCTAGCTTACTCTCTTTGCGGTTAACAGTTGAGCGGTACCCACTTGCAGAACTCTCAATATCGTGGATGTCAGTGGGGAATTTCGTTTGGTCGGAAACGTGCAATTAATTGTGCAAACTGCATCGCTGTTTGTTGCTAACTTTAATGGAGGCAGAACTGTCAAATTCGCTCGCTTCTTGGCGTAGGACCAGGCATTAGCATGTTAGCTATTAGTCGAAAGGCACAGGCTAATTCGCTATGTGTTTTGCGTTTTATTTTACGTCGCATTTTAAGAGGTGCTGCAGTTTAGTGGCACACTGAAAATGTTACCTTAAACAGTGACTAACTAGTCGTATTTTAACTCCGCTTAGTTTCCGGTTTTTAAAAAAAAAAAAAAAAAAATTATGTGCGAATGAGGCTGAGGAAGTTGGGGGTGTGTCCATTCATTGTTGTAACCTTCTGATTGGCCAGGAAAGTTTTGGTGTCCACCTGGGATTGGCCCAGAAGAAATGTGACGTGTACCCTTGTGCTAAACTTGAATAAAATAAAAATGTACAGTATTCCTTATAATAAAGCACTAACGAGTACATTTTCTGCTGTCTGGTCTGCTGTCTTTTCAAACTCTGTAATTGTTTGAAAAAGGCAAATATTCACAAATTTTTATGAAGATTTAATATTTAGTCTTGGTTTTATTTTCTCAATATAATCTAAACCTTTGGGTTTTCGACCTACAGAAAACGCAAGCAATATTATAATAATGGTCTGTCTTATATTAAGGACAACTTTTATATAGGTACCTGAGAAAACATGAAGCACAGCTGTAACAATATTTTGTTTTTGCTTGTACTTACACCTGTTTCCATTTATTCAAACATAGTTAGGTTGCATCATCAGATTCCACTAGGAAGACTTGAGGTCTTCATCTGGCTAGGCCCTAAAGTTTTTTGTTTTTGTTTTTTTGCTTGTTTGACTAATCCATATCTTCTGACTTTAGGTGTGGCCATTGTAAACGTTTGGCACCTGAGTACGAGGCAGCAGCCACACGTTTGAAAGGCATCGTCTCACTAGCCAAGGTACTGCACAACACAGATCACTTAACTTTGTCCACTTCAGTGTGGCTTCTCTGCACTCTGAACTGCAGTGCTCTGTGTCTCATCGAAAAGTGAGAATAATTTGCTTTTCTGCTTAGGTTGACTGCACTGCCAACAGCAACATATGCAGCAAATATGGCGTCAGTGGCTACCCAACCCTCAAGATCTTCAGGGATGGCGATGAATCTGGTCCCTATGATGGTCCCAGAACTGCAGGTATTGCCCTCATGTCTTTTAGCACTGGAAGATCTGAGAGTTAGGTTTAACTTGGCGTTCGATCTGCCTCTTGGAGGAATTCTTTATATGTGAAAATGATATCCTTAGTGGGATGAGGGCTATGTGGAGAGGTAACTAAAGGATACAGAGTTTTCCACAACACCAGCTTTAAAGGTAAAGGAACAAGACATGGCTAACAGTGACGGAATTTTCAACATAAAATTCATACAAATGGAACCTCGTATACAAAAGAGCATAACGTTCGTACTCTGTTAAGCTGAACTTTCAAGATAAAACCAGCAAGTTTTCTACCACAGGAGATGTGAATTGATCTCTTTGCCACATCACCCACTCATTCAGTTTGTTTGCATCTTAAATCGGTGTACAAATGAGCAGGCGACTGGTCCTGTGGCTCTTCGTTGTCTTTTTGCATCCTTCTCACCTCACTACTTCTGTTTGCAGATGGGATTGTCGGCTTCCTGAAGAAGCAGGCTGGTCCAGCTTCTGTGGTGCTCAAGGATGACGCAGACCTAGAAAAGTTTCTTGCAGATCAAGATGCAAGTGTTGTTGGTAAGCATCTAGTTAAGGAAACTTTTCTAAAGGTCTTTTTAAAGCTCTTCACTAGTAACATTCTTCATAATTTAAAGTTTAGGGTATTTTATGTTACTCACTTTTTGTTCAGACACTATTGCCGCTTTTTGCTGCTGATATTGAATCCTGGTCTGACTGACCATTCCTTCCCAGGATTCTTTGCTGATGACAA